TGTCGTCTCAGATTACACTATTTCAATCGCGCCACACTTTCTCCGCACAGAAGACACACAGGTTTTCCAGCTACGTCCATGAACATGTACTTCGACTCCCACCTTGTTTGAAACCCCCGGTTCTCAGTGTCCACCTTCCGTTTTGCCATTTTTGATGGGTATCTGAAAGCTAATGTCACTGTTATGTGAACGACTGCTAGACTAATAAATATTTAAATAAAGCGGCCGACTGCTTGGCGCGTCACCGTTGCATTGTGGGAAATGTAGTATTGGTGCGTGTAAAAGATCTGCGGGCTCTCGGCTTGCTGCGGTCCGCGGGCCGGTTCTAATAATAAATCAATATCATCCCAGGGGCCACTGAAAATATTCTCGCGGGCCGGATTTGGCCCGCGGGCCGGCACTTTGACATATGTGTTCTATAGTTTGGTGCTTGTACTTTTGAAGGCTGAAATGTCTGAAAAAGTATTTACTTGTCAAAGTCTGTGAGATTGCTCCTCCAGTCATGGATTACAGACATCATGGATTACAGATTACCTCACAAATCGGCCGCAGTATGTGAGGGCACAGAGCTGTGAGTCAGACATGCTTCTCTGCAGCACTGGGGCGCCGCAGCTAGGGGACTGTCCTGGCTCCATTCCTGTTCACCCTCTACACCTCGGACTTCAGCTACATCACTCCAACCTGCCACCTTCAGAAGTTCTCTGACGACTGCGCAATTGTCGGCCTCAGTGCAGAAGGAGATGATCGGGAGTTCAAGGGACTGACGCAGGACTTCGTGGACTGGTGCCTGCAGAATCACCTCCATATCAACCCTGGAAAAACTAAAGAGTTGGTTGTGGATTTCCGCAGGAAACAGTCCTCACCTGCACCGATGAACATCCAGGGTACGGACATAGAGACGGTGACCTCCTACAAGTACCTGGGTGTTCTTCTCAACAATAAACTTGACTGGTCTACCAACACGGACGCCCAGATCAGGAAGGGAAACTGAGGTCTTTTGGGGTTCAGGGGTCACTCCTTGAGACCTTCTATGACTCTGTGGTGGCTTCGGCCATCCATTATGGCATTGTCTGCTGGTCAGGCAGCATCTCAGCCCAGGACAGAGAGAAACTGGATTGACATGTCAGGAGGGCCAGTTCTGTCCTGGGATGCTCCCTGGACACTCTGGAGGAGGTGGGCAACAGGAGGATGATAGCTAAACTGGAAGCTATGATTGACAGACCCTCCCACCCCCTCCAGTCCACCCTGACAGCACTGGGCAGCTCCTTCAGCCAGAGACTGTTACACCCGCGCTGCAAGAGGGAGAGGTATCACCGCTCATTCCAACCGACTGCTGTCAGGCTGCTGAACAAACACACGTGAAAACCTGGACTCACCCCATTCACCCATTGCAAATAGCACAGCTACCTGATGCAGCATATATGCAATTGCATATATGTGTGTACCTATATTTATATTTTATATTGCATTCTGTACTATGTACAGTTCATTTTTCTGAAACATTATTTTGTGCATGCATTACTTCGTTTTTCTTTTCTACCCCCCCCCCTTCAATTTTGCTGCTGTAGATTGCAAATTTCTCCATTGTGGGACAAATAAAGGTTTTCTCATCTTATCTTATCTTAACACTGTGGCAGGTCGCGATGGCGTCAACTCAGTTTGGAGTTTTAAAGCGTTAGCCATGTCGTTATTATGCATTTGCATGCCAACTGGAAATTAACATACCACGTTAAAGCTAACACGGAAAGTGCTCTGTGTATAAAGTCCATTAATGCGCTGATATGGAGTTTTCTCATTGAAGTTGGGCCATTTATAAGATGAGTGAGAGGAAAAATTAACCCGAAAGGAAGCCGCCTACAGGGAAATTTAACTAAAAGGTTGCTGGACTTGCAGAAAGATACTGCAAGTTTACCAGTCATTTGTAAAGCAAACCTGAAGGGAATTCACTGATTCATTTCAAAACCCTTCACTGATGACAGAAAGGAATTGAAAAACTAAGCCCAACACATCCAAGTGTATGTAAAATGACTATACGGTACTCTGAGATGTTTCTGTGAGTACAAAGAAAATACTACACTACATTGTCTGTATCAATAGATAGATAAATAGATAGACAGAGAATATATGCAGGGATAAATAGTCATTGACAAAATAGTTGTTGCTTAAGGACATAGTAACTTAAAAAGGCATGTTTTTATCTTATTAGTGTGATAGTTAATGGTTCATTGTAATGTCAAGGAAAAAAGTCATGCCGTGTCTTTAAATGATTCAATCAGTCAGACGAAAGCTTCACCTTTGACAAATCCTGTAATTAGTCCATTTCCAGGTGTGTATAAAAAGAAGCGGAGCACACCAGACCTTCATGTCACTTGCAACCTGATCTTTGACAGCATCTTTAAGATTCAACCACAGACCAAAGTAC